CATAGTATTCTGTTGTGTGTTTGTACCAAAGTTTGTTTCATCCTTCTTCTGTTGATAGAGATTTAGGCTATCTCCATCTTTTTGATGTGTTTCTTATAGACAGCATATTGAAGGATCCTGTTTTCTTACCCATTCTGCTACTCTATGTCTCTTGACTGGTGCATTTAATCCATTTGCATTCATTGTAATTATTGATAGGTATTATTTGATTTCTGTCATTTCCTATGTATGTTTTTGTGGTGCTGTTGGTTTCTTTGTTCCACATAATTTTCTGCACTGAGTTAATTTTGTTTGTGAGTTTTCATTTTCAATGTCTGTTGCTAAATCTTTCTGATTTTCCTCTTTTTTATTTGATGTAAAGGTGGATTAATTTTCTTTGTGGTTATTCTGTAATTTATTAATTGTTTTCCTATTTAAGAGTCTGTTTTATCTTAAAATCTACTTAACTTCCTTTTATTTGGATGTTCTGTATCTGTGCTATTCCCTCTTTTTGCTTTGCAATTGACTTGATTATAAATTGATATCTCTCGTTCTCTATTTTCAATCTTGAAGGTTTGTTTTACTTTAAATACTTCTATATCTGGAGTCAGGCATGGTGCTGTGGGTTAATGTGCTGGACTGCAAAGTTGATTTGATCTACAAGGTCGGTGGTTCAAGCTCACCAATCGTTCCTAAGAAACCCTATACAGTGTCACTATGGTTCGGAATCAACTTAACAACAACAACAACGTATCTGGATTGAGTTCTGGGTGGTGGTGTCATGTATGGTAATCTCAGGTTGTTGTCTGCTGTTGGTTCTCAGTCCAAAGACCACCCTTTAAAACTTTTTTATACAGTTGGTCTGGTCATTACAAATTCCTTTAATTCCTGCTTATCTAGAAATGTCCTAATTTTACAGCTGTATTTTAGGGACAGCTTTGCTGGTTATATGCCTCTAGGTTGGCAATGTTTTTTGTTCAGAGTTTTGTATATGTCATCCCATTGCCTTCTTGCCTGTATGGTTTCTGCTGAGAAGTCAGAGCTTATCTTATTGGTTCTCCTTTATAGGCAACTTTTCATATTTTCTGAGCTGTTCTTAAGATTCTTTCCTTGTCTTTGGTTTTGGAAAGTTTGATTATGATATGTCTTTGTGATTTTCTTTTGGGATCTGTCCTTTTTGGGGTTTGTTCAGTTTCTTGTATGCTTATCTTATCATCTTTTTTCCTGAAGAGACAGTAAGAGACAATAAAAAGCACAGAGAAAGTTGTGGAAGAATTATTTGAAGAAAAGTTTCCTAACATCATGAAAGACAAGAAGATGAGTATATAAGCAGCTGAATGAACCCCAACCAGGAACAGAAAGAAAGAAAACTAAAAGCAAGAATAGAATGACTAAAATCCAAGGGAATGGAATGAGAAGAAGAAAGAATGAACAAACAAAAACAAAAGGACCAACTCCCTCCTTTCCACAGAAACATTGCAACTGTTGGATCTGGAGAGGAGAGAAAACTCTGGAGGCCTCCTGTAAGCTAAAGCGCTCATGAGGTGGTTGTGGGAGGGATGTGACAGCAAAGTTCCTGAAAATAGTTTGTGGAGGCCCTTGATGGAGCTGGTTTCAGTGTCTGTTACTACCACGGGGCAGCTGGGGGCAGGTTGACTAGTTAAATGCTGGTCTGGTGGTTCTGCTGGTTCTGTAGGTCTAGTGCTAGTCCTGTCTGAATCCAGGCACAAAAGCCCCAGCCAACCCCTGCCTCATACTGATGTGGCTCCCAATTTCATGGCTTCAAACTTCTGGAGAGCAGGGTCTTTGCTGGGAGTGCTTAAAGGTCAGAGCTGGCCACACCTTTAGTCACTAGGGAATCGTCAGAACAAAGAAGAACCACACCTTTCCCATCTTGGGTGTGTATCTACTCTTCTGGGCCACCCTCTATTGCCAAAGCTGCTCACACAATGGTTGTACCACTCTGGCCTGCCATTCAGCAATTAGTCTCCCTCTCTTGCCATCCCTGCTCAACTTCTCCTAGCAAGCACTCAGTCCACTTCTGTAACCTTTTCTCTGCAGTTCAGGGCTCCCAAATTTTCATCTTTGTCTGTTTCATTTGATTTCTCATACCTTTATTGTAGAGGGTCCTTGTAGACTGTCTGCCTAGTCCACCATCTTGCTGGAAGTCTCTTCTGCAAACTTTTTGAAACCCCTTAGTATAAACCCTGTATATTATTGTTCGTAGTAACTTTATTTAAATAGTCTAAAACTGGAAATAACTCAAGTGTCCTTCAAAGGGCAAATAGTTAAATAAACTGTGATCATCCATCAATGAAACACTGCTCAGCTGTAACAAGGAATGAACAACATCTTAAATGGACCTCAAAGGTACTCTGCTGAGTGAAAAAAGCTAATATTAGAAGGCTACATACTGGTTGCTTCCATTTATATAGCATTATTGAATGAACAGAATTATAGAGATAAGAGGTTAGGCTACCAGAGGATATAGTTGATGGGGAAAATATGGTAGGGCTCAACTACAAAGTATTTTCTTGGTGGGAATAGAATAGCACTGTGCCTTGATTATGCTGGTGGCTTACATATCTATGTTGTTGTTAAGTGTCGTCAAGTCAGTTCTGACTCATAGTGACCCTGTATATGGTTTCCTAGGAGTGACTGGTGAGTTTGAACCGCTGACCTTACAGTCCAGTGCATTAAGTTGCAGTGCCACAGCAGAACTCCATATCTATACAGGGAATTAATTTATATAGGGGATAAAATTGCCTAGAACATACATACACACAAATGAGTATATGTGAAAGCTGGTAAAACTAGAATAAAGCCTGTAGTTGCATAACAGATTATATCAGTACCAGTTTCTTGGTTTTCTGTAATTGCTGTGGATGATACCATCCGGGGAAGCTGGATGAGAAGGGTACAAGAGAAGTTTTCTTGTGTGTGTAACTTGCTATGGATACAGTTTTACAAAAGAAAATACTTTTTTAAAAGTAATACAGCTACGCCAAGCTCTCCCGCCAGACCCTCTCAGATCGCTCAGCACATCCGCTGTCCGCACCCACCATGGCTACCGTTCAGCAGCTGGTAGGAAGATGGTGTCTGGTAGACAGCAAAGGCTTTGATGAATACATGAAGGAAATAGGAGTGGGCATGGCTCTGCGCAAAATGGGTGCAATGGACAAACCTGATTGTATCATCACTACTGATGGTAAAACCCTCACCATCAAAACGGAAAGCACTTTGAAAACACAGTTTTCTTGTAACCTGGGAGAAAAGTTTGAAGAAACTACAGCTAATGGCAGAAAAATTCAGACTGTCTGCAACTTTACAGATGGTGCCTTGGGTCAACAACAGGAGTGGGATGGGAAGGAGAGCACGAAAACTGGAAAATGGGAAATTAATTGTGGAATGTGTTATGAACAATGTCACCTGTACTCGGACCTACGAAAAAGTAGAATAAAAATTCCATCTTTACTTTGAATAGGAATTAGCTGTGAGAATGAACAAGCTCAGTTCAATGAGCAAATCTCCACACTGCTTTGTTTTTTTGTTTTTTCAATTATTTCTCACACAGACATTTACATGCAATTGTTGGTTTAATTAGGATCATCCCTTTGATTAGTAAATAAATGTGTTTGTGCTAAAAAAAAAAAAAGTAATACAGCTAATTGTAGAAAATACAGCTAGGCAAATAAGAAAATTTATTCATATTCACATGTTAAAAATTCATCATACTCAAAGCAATGGAAGCATAAAGCTTATTCTGAGCAGTTACTCTCTCTATATATAGGAGGACCATTCTGATTACAGCAAAAGCAAAGGAGTAGAAGCTAGGTACAATGAATTTATAAGGAAGGGGGTGGTATTTATGTGCTGTGGAGTCAATTCTGACTCATAGCAACCCTGTACAGGGTTTTCGAGACTACATCTTAATGGGAGCAGAAAGCCTCATCTCTCTCCCGCGGAATCGCTGGTAGTTTTGAATTTCTGACCTTGAGGTTAGCAGCCTAACTCATAACCACTATGCTACCTGAGCTCCTTTTATAAGAAAGGTGTTGGTGATTCTGTGCCGTGGAGTTGGTTCTGACTCATAGTGACCATGTATAGGGTTTCCGAGGCTGTAAATCTTTATGGGAGCAGAAAGCCTTATTTTTCTCCCACAGAACAGCTGGAGATCTTGAGATTAGCATCCCAACTCATAACCACTATGCTACCAGAGCACCTTTTAAAAGGAAGTTGTTGTTGTTGTTAAGTGCCGTCGAGTCGGTTCAGACCCATAGCGACCCTGTACAGGGTTTCCGAGTCTGTAAATCTTTGCGGGAGCAGAAAGCCTCATCTTTCTCCTGTGGAGTGGCTGGTAGTTTTGAACTGCTGACCTTAAGGTTTGCAGCCCTTCCTTTATAAGGAAGAGGAGGGCAAAATATGGATCAACTATTGGCTAACTTTAATATGATTGATTGAATCTGCTGCCCTCTCTCTTTTGCTGAGATCAATTGATAATCAAGTCTTAAACTGGTCTCTGGCTCCCTGCTCAGCTATAGCTTTTGAAATTCAAATTTAGTAAGCCTGGCTTCTAACAGGAAAGAAAAGATTATTAACTTTGGGTGAAAGAAGAGCTATTGGAAGAATTAATTTTGGTCAGAAATTTCTTTATAGTGACTATTGGATATTGTAGGTAAGAAAACACCTTAATCAAAGAAAGATGTTTATTAATTTTTCTCTTTGCCATATACTATCTAAAGATAGTTATTAATAATATGTTGTATGAGGGAGCTTCAAAATACTTGTGGAAAATAGAATGAAAAGGAAATGGATTTTTTTCCACAAAACTTTCTGAAGTCCCCTTATATATCCTTCAAGTATTTTTGATAGATTTTGTTATTTTACTGTGATTATTTTCCCAAAACATCTGTTTATTGTTTTTATCTGCTGGTATTATGGAAACATAGCTTATTTTATAATTCTGTATTCACTGAAATTAAGGTCTTTGCTTCTAATTCCTTTCTTGTTCTGTTCTCTAGTTGACGACAGTGCAATTCTGGATTGCCAGTTCAGTGAATTTTATCACACGCCTCCACCTGGTTTTGAAAAAATATTATTTGAACAGCAGATCTTCTGAATTTTTTTTTAAACTTGTATTTCTGCACTGTTAAAAGTGTTTACCATTTAATAAAGCTTTACCTGAGCTATAGATGAAAATATATTCTTCAAAATATGCTTATTGATGTTGTCTAAAGAACCAGTATATGCAGTATACTACAAATAAGTTGTGATTTAAATATGTGATGTGAATATCAGTATTGGGGCAGTTTATTTAATTCTTTTTTTGTTGTTTTTTAAGTTTATTTTTTTGAGGTTTACGTGGGAGAATATCAGCTTTACACTCATCCTATTGTATTTTGTCTCATTGCAATGATTACAACCCCCTCCATGCATCATCATGTACCCCAAAGGGTACACCATACCGGCCCACCCACACCCACCCCTAGCTGCCAGCACACAGCCCTTCGCCCTCCCTGAGTCCAGTGTCCCCAGCCGCTCCATCTGTGCATGTCATCTTCTCTGTCTTCATCCCTGGCGTCACTGCCTCTCTGGGTAGGGTCCCGTTCTCCGTTCTTCTCATTTGATGGTCCCAGGGACCTCCACTCCCGGGCTGCAAAATCAATCACTCTCCTCCTTTTGAGTTATTTAATTCTTATTTAATTAAATTTAACATTATGGGTTTAATTAACATTATTAAATGGAAATATGTGTATAGAGATTTAAAAGGAAATCTTATATAAAATATTTGTTTTGATAGAGATGTAGAGTTATGTATGTGTTTTTCTGTTGTGGTTTTCATTACACAGCTCACACCACTTAACCATGTTAAATCTACAGTTCAGTAAGCTTGTGTCTCTGTGCCCTGTTATAAACAGGCAGTCCCTGGGTTATGAGCATTCGACTTACATACATACAACCTGTAGTTTAAAACCAACCCCAAAATGCCTATACTAAAAATTTCTGGTACACACAATGATTTATAATAACAAACAGGCAAGTACTTTGCATTGTGCACTGAAACATTATTATTATTATAGTATGTTAAAGATGTTTTGTGTACCTGGAAGTGTTTCTTTAATGTTTTTTATGCATAGAAAGGAGTCATGGTGTGGTGCTGTGGGTTAATGTACTGGAACACAAAGTCGGCTTGAACTGCTAGGTCGGGTTCCAGCTCACCATTCACTCTTCAGAAACTCTATTCAGGGTCATTATGTGTTGGAACTGACCCCACGGCACTTAACAACAACATACATAAAAAGTACATTATGTAGTATATGTTAAGACAAACATTTGACATTTGACTAGCCCACATCACATACAAACCACACCTAACTGATTTACATATAAATTCTACTTAGAAATGGAACTTGTAATCTGGGGGCTGCCTATACAATATAACAAACAGTGACAGAAACATATTGACAGTCTTTTTCTTGTAAAATGTACCATTTTATTGAAATTTAAATAGCCTATTTTGTTTTTATAATGTCATGACTTTTAATTTGCTCTGTGAAAGGAAATATGTGCTTTAATAATTGCCAGAGCATTTTGTTGAAGACCATCATGGTTGTGTTATTTCAACCAATTAATGATGTAGTGTACACTGGCAGAGAAAACAGTATAGTGGAGCTTTGAACTTGAATTTAATAAGATTATTCTTTTATGGACTATTTTATTTAAATGTATGTTTTTCTGTAGTGAAAAATAAAATAGTAATTAAGAAGTAATCAGTGTCATATTAAACACATGTTCATTCTATTTGTTGTTGTTAATTATTCAGTAAATCTGTTTCACCCTTGATTATTTCAAAAACTCAGAGAGAAATGAATCTTCTCTATGACCCTGAGCTTTTGTTTAAAATCTTTCCATTAACGCCCTAGTGTAGTCCTATAGGATAAACACTGGCCTGCTAAACACAAGGTCAGCAGTTCAAACTCACCAGCCACTTCTTGGAAACCCTATACAGGGTAGCTATGAGTTGGAACCGACTCAATGGTACTTGACAACAACAACACTGTCCACAACCATAAGTACTGTCCACGTCTTTAATTACAGGTTGTTTTCTCAAATGAGCATGCCAAGGAGGAATAACTTTCACTCCTTTGCTCCCTGATCCTATTGACTTCTCAGGTAAATTTCTCAGACCCTCTGAGGCGGTTCCTTATTTTAAAAGGAATAACCATACTTATATGGGGGTAAGGTAATATCTATAAACTATCTTAATCACCGCAGACACATAAATGTTAGCTTCCTTTTTGGCTGTAAAGCAATGGTTTTCATAGTTCTCAGACCAGTAGTTTCCGCATCAGCATCACCTAGGCACTTGTTAGAATAGAAAATTCCCAGACCTACTAAATCACAAACTGTTGGAATTAAGACCCAGTGACCTATATTTAAACACACCCTTAAAGTGATTTTGATGTCGACCAAAGTTTGAAAGCCACTACTGTAAAAGTTGAGGAGTGCTGGTAGTGTAGTGAGTTATGAGCTACACTGCTAACCATAAGGTTAGCAGTTCTAACCGACTAGTTGCTCCACAGGAAAAAGATGAGACTTTCTGCTCCCACAATGATTTGCAGCCTTGGAACCCAACTCGACAGCATGTAACCACCACTACCACCACCTTCCTAAAAGGAAAGAGCCCTGGTAGCCTAGTGGGTTACACATCTGCTAACTTCAAGGTCAGTTGTTCGAATCTACCAATATTCCATAGGAGAAAGATGAGACTTTTGGCTTCAGTAAAAATACACAGCCTCGGAAATTATATTGAGGGTCACTACAAGTAGGAACCAAAAGGCATACACTATCACTAGCAGTAGCAGCTAACATCCTGGTGTAGTGCTGTAAGGTAAGCACTGTGCTGCTAACCACAAGGTCAGCAGTTCAAAACCACCAGTTGCTCCTCGAAAACGCCATACAGGATTGCTATGAATCAGAAATTTGGCAGCACACAACAACCACATCCGCCACTCTAAAAAGAGAATTCTTGATTTTTGCCTAGAACATTTTTTCTAAGGGTTTAGGATAGGTGTAGTGCTGTAGGATAAGCACGGGGCTGCAAGGTCAGTTTGAACCATAAAGTCGGTTTAAACTCACCAGCCACTCCTCAGAAATCCTATACAGGGTCTCTGTAAGTCAGAACCAACAACAGTGGTTCAAGCTCACCAGTTGCTCCTAGGAAACCCTGTATAGTGCCGCTGTTGGTAGAAACTGACTCGAAGTACTTAATAACAACAGCATTTATTGTTTATTTGATCAGCAACAAAAGTAAAAACATGCTTTGAAAACAGATATACTTCATTAATTATTTATATAAATCCCAAGTTTTCTTGGAATATATCTGAAGATACATGGAATTGAAGTATATATTACAGTAAAACCTGAGAAAGCTGGAAGCTGTACAAGGCAGAAACCTGTCAGAGAAAAAAAACTCATATATTTCTCACAAGTACCCTGTCAAAAGTGGAAAACCTGCAAGACCTGGATAAACAAGGAAGTCCTGTTGAGCTCCAGCTCTCACAAGTTTCACTGCATTCATGCATTTTTGTCTGACTATGTCACAGTAATTTTAATTCATAAAGAAAATGCTTCTTATGAAGTGCTGTTGAGTCAGTTTCGACTCATAGCGACCCTGTATAGGGTTTCCAAGGAATGGCTGGTGATTTTGAATTGCCAACCTTGTGGTCCAAATCGTCCTTGCAGTCCAGTGCTTTATCCCACAGTGCCACACCAAGACTCTATTAAGAACATGCTTAGGAGAATAATTTAATAGCTACAATGTGCTGTCTTTATAATATTATCTACCTGGCTGGTGTGCTATAGGATAAACACTAAACTGCTAACTGCAAGTTGGCAGTTAAACTCACCAGCTGCTCCTTGGAAACCCCATGCAGACTTGGTAGCACTTCACAACCACCTCTTAGTTATTTTTTTTAAAAGCCAATTAAAAACATATTCTATTCTTCAAGACTATCCCTACTTATCAGAATATACCCAGTACTAAAAATGATATATGAGTTATATCTATGACAACAATTTGATGAAATCTAGATTTATTTTAACATATGGGCATCTAATTCATCTGAGAAAAAATGGCATTGACTAGATCTTTGTCCTCAAAACCCGTAATCCCAGTCTAATCATGAGAAAAACAGCAGACAAATTCCACTACAAAATTCCTATAAAGTACTTGACCAGCACTCCTCCAACCTGTCAAGGGCATAAAAAGAAAGCCAGGAAAGTCTTAAGGAACTTTCACAGCCAAGAGCATGACAAGTAGATGCAACATGATGTCCTGAATGAGACCCTGAAACAGAAAAAGACACTAGGTAAAATCTAAGGAAATCTGAATCAGCTGTGGACTTTAGTTAATAATGGGGTCCTGGGAGGCTCAGTTAAGCACTCAGCTGCTAACTGGAAGGTTGGCAGTTTGAGTCCACCCATAGGTGCCTTGGAAGAAAGGTTTGGTGATTTATTTTTGAAAAACCAGGTGTTGAAAACCCTGTGGAACACGATTCTACTCTAAACCCCTTTGGATCACGACAGTGGGCATCAGCTTGACAGCAGCTGGTTTGATTTGGGTTTAGTTAATGGTACCAATATTGGTGCACTGATTATAATACTAATGTAATATGTTAATCATAGAGGACATTGGCTGCAAGGTATATGGGAACTCTGTATACTATGCTTTTAATTTTTCTGTAAATCTTAAGTTGCTCTAAAAAATAAAGTTTATTTGTTTTTTTTTTAACTTTATTGTGAATTGAGTGAAGGTTAACAGACAAGATTATCAGCTTTACATTCAACAACTTAATATCCTTTGTTTCATCCCAATGACATAATCCCCTCCCTACAACAACAGTTATCCTGCTTCCTTCCTGTGACTTCCCTTTTACATCTTATATTTCACAAATGAACAAAGTAAAAATATTTGGTGTACGCATACAAACAAAAAATATATATTCATTCAGATATCCAAAGGGCATGTTCTGCAAGCCAGCCTCCTGCCCACAGAAACACAGGCTTTTCAGTCCACAGGCCTAGAGTCCTCAGTTGTTCTAGCTCTCTATGTCATCACATCTGCCACTGTCTCTGCCATTTTTCTACATGGGAACTCATGCACCAACTCATGCTTTTCCTTCTTGATGGTTCTTAGATTGTCTGTTCCTGAAATGAAAGATTAACTGCTCCCCTCTTTTACTTACACATGTTCTACAATTACAGTTGTGACAATCACAATCCTGCAAACAATTACAACTAAACCATAAAATCCTACCATCA